AAAAATTAAAATTTTATTAATATGAATTATAATACCGATATAGTAATAATCTATTCTATTTCTCATCATCGAAAACTTAACAATTATGAAAAAAAGATGGCGCTATCAATCAAACAGGGTTACTATTTTTCGTATTTATTTAACTTACTTACTAGCTATTACATTTATGGTTTCCGTATGTTATACTTGAAACGTAGGTATGGATTTTGAAAAAAAGCAAAATCAGTGCCTCTTATATTTTAAAATTATGAACCTGTAGGATTACATATTAAACGATTACATATTAAATGTCAGACGAAACTGTTTATAATAGGTACAGACGGCGCCAGATTTTTTTGTCGAACAAATAACGGTCGATTTTACTCATCAACACGATCTTTTAAATCATGCGTATCTTTCTATATAATTTCTACATAAATCGTTGATTATGGAATAATAGCAAATAGCAAGTAAAAAGTTTGTCAATTACAAACAACAAGGTAAGCGAAAATCCTTCAGAAAATGATAATTGTTTGCGCGACAATGTATGATATAACATTATCATTTTAATTTCGAGGTTATTGTGTAAGTAATTTATCAAAATGTGAATCCTTTTAATTCTTTTTTCTTGAACAAAAATTTTACATCTCATAAATATAAATTAGAAAACATTTTTTTACAATTATAACGAAATATCGTTTTATAATATATATATAATCATATATAATCATAATATATAATCGTGAAATGTTATTCAATATTTTGACATTAAATTAAAAAAAAACATATAATGCAAAATTTTTTAGCTGTTATATATTACATAGTATTTTTTTTGTTCGTTGTGTTTTAAAAATAAATTTTTTTTCTATGCTTAAAAGAAAACATGCAGAATAGATTTATTAATACTAAAAATAAAAATATCAATACTTTCGATTTTTATTATTAAGAAACTCTTTAAATCGAAATTTAGACAATCTTCGGATATAATATAAATTATTATATTTCATTTATTATATATTTCATTATCATGATATAAGATTTTTTTTTGATATATTATTACCATGGCATTTTATCCTTGTGAAATGACGTTGCTAAAAATGTAATTCCTAAAAATTCGATCGGACCACTCCATGTTTTATATGATAAACTGTTTGAATTACACGATCATCTGTGTTTTCCCATCGACGAAGCATGGGTTATCAATTTTCCTCGGACATTGGAAAAATATTATTTCAAGTTGAAGCCAGATTGTTGTTGCGGTGCCAGACGAAATTCCAAGGAAAAGGTTTTTTCAATCTAATACTTAGAATTTTAAAAATGAGGATGAATAATGTATTAGATGATCGTTATTACACATTTTTAGTAAGAATAACTAAGTTAATAATTTTTAATTTTATTTGTGAATATTTTCTTAGATATTATATTTGTTAAATATTATATCAGAAAAAATTTTCTGAAAAGAATGAAAATTTGATTGATTATTTTTGAGAATGTGAAGTATGAGAATGAAATACAATGTTAAAACAATTTATTGCTCAAAAGCTCATATCTACTAGCAAAATTTTTTCATACTTCTATTAATTCTCAGAAGACATGTTACTTAATT